CTCCACCTTTCCTGGGACACCCTTTGAAGGATCTTGGCACCCCAGGTTCCCTGTAACCCCAGTTGAGAATCACTGTACTAAGTAGTCACATGATTCCAGAAGCTGTGACTAAGATAAACACCAAATAACATGAGATTTGAGGCAGCCCAGCTTAACTATGGTGTTAGTGAGGGAGAAGGCTCTAAAATGTCCAACTATTCCTAGAAGAGATGCCAAGTCATTATATTCTGTTAGATGAAGTATGTGTGTGTTTCAGAGAGGGGCATGAAGGATAGGAGGTCTTTGGGGATCTGTCTTGTGAGTTTTCAGGATGTAGGGTCCTTCTCCCTGTTGTGGAATTAGCTGTTAGTCATTTTACTCTTAGCATTGTGTCAGGTGAGTGCAGAGTTAGGCTCCTTTTTTAATATTTTGTGTACCTGGAAATATTGTGGACATGTGAGATTATTATTTGGGACCTTTGGGAATATTCTGTTTTTAGTGCCTGTTTAATACTAAAACAACATTGAGAAGTGTTTTATTTTACTTTTTATTTCTTTCACGCCTGACGTGCACAGTTAACCTAACTTTGTAAGGTGCCACACTGCCCTGCCTTCTATTAAACTTCAGACTAAATCAGCTAACAGCTTCTGCATGGTGATTCAGACTAGAAAAGACTGCCATCCTCTGGTTAGTTTAATTAAATGCTCTCTTTTGTGTATTGCAATAATCTTCTGAGTGTTTTACAAGCATTAAGCCTCCCTTCTAATGCCTCTGAGAAGCATTATTGCCACTATTGAAGGGAGAACCGAGTTAAAGCAATGAAGTGAGTGCAGTAAATCAGTGGCAGTGTTAAGACTCGGCTCTTAATTCCTCTGCCTACATTGTTACTCAACCTTCTTTTGTACATTTTATAATTAATCCATATTTGAGCTGTTTATTTTGGAACTCTGACTCTATAATCAGAGCAATGACTCTTGTTCCTGACTGACCTATATGAGTCTACAGTTCTTGGTGGTAAGTTCCAGTGTAGCTTTCCACTGTCAGGTTTTACAAAAATCCTTGTAAATGATTTGTTCCCCTTTTGAGTGGTTCTGGCAGGGCTGTCCCTAGGGGGGATGAATTGGGGCAACCACCCCGGGCTCCGCACTTTGGGGGGCCCTGTGGAGCTGGTTGGAGCGGCCGCAGCAACTCTGCACTGCCTCCGCTTCATATCCAGCAACTCAGCAGTGCCACCCCTCCACCGCTGCCGAATCCGCTGCTTCCAGCCACTCTCCCTTCTCCCCCGCTGCTAAATCCGCTGCCAGTTTCCTCGTGTCTGGGGGTGGGGCCCCACACAGCCTGACTTGCCCTGGGCCTCGCACCCTGCTCTGTCTGGGTTCTGGAATGTCTCTGATTAGTATCCTGGTTGAATGAACAAAGGCTGTCTGTAAATGGAAACCACTACCTGATACTGAACAGAATAGGCAAGACCTTTGGGAAAATTAAGCTGAACATTTGGTGCATGTTCTGACAAGTGTTAGTGGAAGTCTCCTGAGTGCTCAATGCACTCTATCTTCTGGAACATTTTAAACTAGACAGTACTGTAGTAAATCTACTCCAAGAAACAATCCTATGTTGGTGGGGAGATGCACTAGGTATACTTTCTTCTGTTTCCTTGCCTGTTGGTGGAGGTGCACCGATATATCGGTGCCATACCAGATTGGCACCGATAAAAGGACAATTAATATTATTGGCTTATTTTGGCTGGTGTAGCCAATAGTACACTGATAAATATAATATGCCCCTATAATATGGGGTCCCTAAATACTGCATGCATGTGTACAGCCACATGAATGCATGTGGCCAGGAATGTAGCCAGGCAGTGTGAAGAGCAATGCCTGGCAGGTAAGTCTGTGGAGGGGAAGGGTATGGTAGGTGAGGGGCAGATAGAGGCCCCCATGGTGAGGGAGGGAGTGGGTCAGGGGTTGGGGCAGGGCAGTGAATGGGACCCCAGAGCTGGGGCAGGGAGCAGGATGGAGCTGCGGGCAGCTTGTCCAGGGGATCAGCCAGTGTTTAAAAATTGGCAGTGGGGGCACTTGCATTAAAGTTCATCAAAAGAGGTTTAGTTCAATTGCTGCCACTACCATTTTTAAGCACCAGGATGCTGTCAACCAGAGCTGAGTGGGTTGAGGGCAGAGGCTGGGCTGCCCACTGCCAGACAGGCAAGGGGCACAGCGCAGCCAGTGTGTGGCTCCTGGTGCAAAGGTAACAGGGCAAAGAGCCCCAAGCCCACAGCAGGCATCCTGCCTTCAACCTAGCCCTGCTTAGCTTGGCTCTGGTTAAAAGCATCCTGGCACTTTAAAAATGGTGGCAGTGGCACTTGTAGGTCAAGTGACCCCAGTGCCATTTTTAAGTGCCAGGATGCTGATCACCTGGATGAGCCGCCTGCAGCACAGTCCCATTCCTTGTCCCAGCCCCAGCCCCTGCCCCACTCCCTCCTTCACTATGGGGGCCTTGATCTGCCTCCCTCCACAGACTTACCTGGAGGACATTGCTTTCCATGCTGCCCAGCTGCATTCCTGTAAATTGGTTATCGGATTAGTATCAGCTGATATGCCTGGTATATAATTGGTTATCACGATGGGCCAAGAAAATCTTTATCGGTGCACTCCTACCTCTTATTGTATGTCCTCAATGGCCTTTTAATGAAATCAAGAAAGTGTCAGCAAACTGGTTCTTTTTGTTCTACCAACAAAAAGTGGTCTCATATCTCTTTCCTTATTGTTTTTACCATTATTCTTTACTTTTACAAGGTCTCTTTATACGTAATTAAATATTTTATTTCTTGCTATTAAAATAATAATGCAGAGCCATACCATACAGCTTACCAGCATCAGATGTGTTGGGGTGTTAGGTCAGCCAGAGCTGAAAACCAGACCAGTGGTTCTCAATTTTGTTTGTACCAGGACCCATTTGTAAACATCAATGGCCAGTGCCCCATACTCCTGACCTGCTGCCCCCAGGTCCCAGCTCCCCAGTGTATGAGGCAGGGGTTGGGGGGTGGATGTGTGAGGCAGGGGAAGCCCTAAGCAGACCCTCTCAGGCTGGAACTCTGCTAGTCTGCAAGGGAAAAGCCATGGTTTCCCATGTTTGTCTCTTTTAAAGGAGAATCCATTTTTAAAGTTTGTTCATGATCCTTTCATATATTCTTGTGACCCATGGGTTGAAAAACACTGTACTAGTGGATTGAACTTTGGAGCTTAAAAAAAGGGAAGCAATTGGAATTGAGTGGTCAGGTATTAAAAGGGTCAAAATTCCCCCTCAGTCCCTCAAGGGCAGTCAAAACTGGGAGTGCTGATTGGTTCATTTGCATAATATTAAAACACCTCTTGGACTCTTCGGTCCTCAGATTCCCATGGATGAGTTCAGACTTGTTTGTCCTTGGGAAGGGTTTATAGTCATTTTATTGAGTGGGGACAGGGCAGCCTGACATTTTTGAGATTGTTCATAAACTGTTGAAAGCAATGGGACATCATGTGTGACTGAGGCCATGCACAGGTGTTGTTTCTACTGAGAGACTCACCACTTTTGCTATTAAAAACTGGGAGCATACAATTGAAATTGTTCATTCAATTTCTCGTAGAAGAAACATGAGCTCTCTGGGAGAAGGATCTTTCAGGTTGACCCCTAGAAGACCTCCCCTGCAAAAGAAGCTTCCTCACAAGAATGAACGCCTGTACATTTTTGCTTCACTCTTCTGGCATCTAGGAGAATCAGGCAGGAACTTCTCCAGTGCCTTCCCCAGACTGGGGAGATGCCGGTCTGGGGAAGGCTTGTGGGGAGGGAGCATTTCCCTACAGCTAATCTCTTCCCATGGAGGATTTGAGCTGCTACTGCCCTCCCCACAATCTTCCTGAGACCAGGAACACCCCAGTCTAGAGCAGGTTTGTGGGGAGGAGGCATTGTCCCACTGTTCCACTCCCCTCCCCATCTTCTGCAGTGTCTGTGCTGGGGGAAGTCTATTGGCTTGTCCCTGCATGGGTCCTGGCTTTGAAGATGCTGTACAGGGAGAAGCCAGTTTTGCTCTTCCACCATATAATACCAGCAGAGCCACATGCACATCACCCTGGTCTGAGGAATGTTCAGAGCGCAGGGGAGAGGGGGTAGGTGCAGGCTTGAACCTCTGTATTGCTTCCTCACCCTGAAAGGTCTCTAAAAATGTCCACTGCTAGAAACGAGTGTCTGTTCAAGGCCTCAGTGTCTGTTCTCGAGGCTTCTGCGATTCTGGTTGGTGCTTCCTCCATCCTTGTGACTCTTATCTGCTGCTAAATCGAGGCACGGTACATTAGTTACAGAAAAGAGATCTGGCACTTTTTGGTGCAATTTTCTTTGTGGGTATGTTAGACCCTGAAGAGGAGTAAAACTGAGCTTTAGATACTGAAATGCTTCCTTAAAATAAGTTTGCCATACATATAGCACTCTTAACAAACAAAGTTTAGTGTTTGTTGGCCTTCCACTTCTGTTGATAAATATGTTTTGGAAATAAATACAGTCTTTGGCTACTATCAGACCCATGGCTCTGTTCACTTTGGCGTTTCCCAGAATTTTTCATTTACTATTTGTGTGCACACATGTATTTCTCCATAGAACTACAATCCACATCCCTTACCTTTTTTTCCTAACCAAGCTTCTGTATTGTGGTGTAGAAAGCTACTACCTGACTTCTGTGTAGTTTTCTGCCCAGACTGGAGCCATGTGCTGGATTGGTCTGTTTTTGCACTTCAAGTGAATAAGTTTGGTTTCTTGGATCCCTTTCCAATCCTTTCTTTTTAATAGCTGTAGACTCCTTGCTGCCGGAAATACACTGGTGTCTAATCTGGCAATTCCCATTCTTAACATTAGGTTTAGACTCTGTCTCACGGTTTCTTTTAGTGTGAGCTGTATTATAATTATACACTGTTGCCCAGGTAATAAATAAAAGTCAATCTAAAATGAGTTCTCTTTGATATCTGAGTGATGATAAATGTTTTCTTTAATTCTAGGTATTATGTTTACAACAAAAAAGGACGTCTGGTCAATGCCCCCTATGTGAACAACTCCTACAAATGGGCTGGCGGTGGCTTTCTATCTTCAGTGGGCGACCTTCTGAAATTTGGAAATGCCCTGCTGTACAGTTATCAAGTTGGACAGTTTAAAAACACTGTCAACAAACTTCTTCCTGGTTACCTTAAAGCAGACACTGTTACAATGATGTGGACCCCAGTGTCAAACACCGAGGTATCATGGGACAAGGAGGGAAATTATGCAATGGCTTGGGCTGTTGTAGAGAAGAAGCAGGAATATGGTTTTTGCAGACAGCAGCGACACTATGCATCACACACAGGTGGTGCAGTGGGGGCAAGCAGTGTCCTGTTAATTCTTCCTGAAGAGTTGGACTCTGAGCTCACAAATAATGAGTTAGTGGCCCCACCTAGAGGAGTAGTTGTTACTATTATCTGTAATATGCAGTCGGTGTCCCTGAACAGCACTGCCTTAAAGATTGCAATGGAATTTGATAAAGACAAATGGGCATGATATTTCAAGTAAAATACAAGAGGTCTGAATAATTTAACTACAGTATTGAAATATGAACAAGCCAATGGAAAAAGGTATGCATGAGCTCCAAAATTGCTAGGAATACGTCTTAGAGACAGAGGAAGTTGTATGACTTTTGGGGGGCAGTGCTACATTTTGTGTGCAGCTGGAAGCAAAGCAACTCTATAGTTCTTAGTTTATGGGAAGGGAAAATGTGTAAAATCACCATTATACTAACAGTATTTTTTTTTTCACATCAAGCCAAGATACAGACTAAGATTGAATAAGCATCATTGGTCTTTGCCAAAAATAGGAGTGATGCTTACTCCCATGTTTTAGGCTCTGAGATGTACAATATCAAGTACATACTTTCCTTTAAATATAACCCCCCCCCCCAAAAATAGTCTCTCATGTTATGATGCCTTGATGCTAGAAAGACTATTTTTTCTTGAAACTTTTGAATTTTAATGCTTGCCAAAGCTGTTTTTTACTAGTATTCTAAAAACCAAAATCTGTATTTTTCATGACTGTTTAGAAATATTGAATGTAAAGTTGGTATTTTAGTGATAAAAACAGACACAAACACTAAACTTCATGTGAAACAGCCCCCAGGGTAAGAGAAAATTACATGCTGAATTTCTTCAGAAGCAGTCTTTTTCAAGCTGTAGCATTCTCATTCTTCAAAATTTTCTTGGAGGTTTGAACAGAAGTCAGGGCAGAATGCACCTTTTATAGATAAACTTGGGACTGACTTCAAAATAGCTGCGGCTGCATGCCACAAGTCACTGGACCTGGGCTGCATACTGAGCAGACTATGCTGTGGGGGCGGCGTGAGATGCCTAGGACTCCTGCCATGTGCAATGTGAGCCTCCTACTGTTATGTGAGCTCCCCTCCACTACCATAGTTTGGATGATTTACTCCTCCTTTTCCCCTCCCACCTGCTGCCACTACCATGCAAGGTGAATTCCCCCATCCCCACTCCACATGAGCAGCACAAGTTCCCCATCCAAGTCACCTTGCTGCTGCTACATGGGCAGCAAGCTCACTGGGCCTTCTACTGTGCTGCCCTGCCCAGAGACCCTGCAGCAGCTAAAACAGTGAAGTGGCAGGTGGGTGAGAACCTGTGGGCTGTACTTTAACCCCTCATGGGCTAGATGTGGCCTGTGCACTGCCAGTTGGACAGCCCTGGGTTAACTAATTCAGAGATGCATAAGCTTTTGTAAGCAACAGCTCACTTTGTCACCCAGATGGCATCTGACAGTCTGGGTTACAAAGTGAGCTGTTACTTACAAAAGCTTATGTATCTCTGAATTAGTCTACAGCAGGGGTTCCCAATGTTTATGTGCCCAAGGGCACATTCTAACTTAAAAGAGAAAGTAGCGGGCACCAATATGAATATTAAACTCGTGGATATGCGCATGCACGTAGTTTTATTTGGGGAGGGAGCAGTAAGCACCACTCCGCCAGTCAGACTTACTCGGTCTCATTTTGGCAGATATTGCGTGCAGCCTGTGAAAAAATTTTTGAAGTGTTGCTGTTCTGAGTTCAGTTGGCAGTGACAGCATTTTTTGTTGGAATGTTTTTTTACTGATCATGAAAATTGTGCACAGGTACCTGAATAAACAGCGAGGGGTGCCATGGCACCCGTGGGAACTGCATAGGGAACCACTGGTCTACAGCGTGCAGCTCTGCCCTGCCTTCTGCCTGAGTTCAGAATAATACAGCTGACAGTCGCACTCTGAAAGGATAAAACTAAGTAAAGAAAAGATCACATCTTGTTCAATACCTTTTTCCTTCAATCTGACTGGGAGCAGAGGACAGCTTATGAAACTAATCTGTTCACCTAGGGTATTGATATACTTTGTGGTAGTTCAAAATTCAAAATACTTGGTATTCTCTTAATTTTAATCATCTTACAAAGTCAATAGTAAAAATTCCATTGCCTCTATGAAGAGTAATTCCACATCAAACCTTTTTTCTTCCAGGTCATGTGATGTTGAGTGAGCCTTGCTCAATAGTAACCCCTCTAGATGAGCAAGAAGCATTACTGAGAGGTTTCCAAAGGGCTTTCATATACTTAAGCTCCTCTGTGCTGTAGGTGCATGAGGATTATTGGATCAGGAAATCTCCTGTGCTCTAAAACATATCTTGCCCTTCTTTCCAGAAGGGGCACTGAAGAACAGCTAAGTAACGGGATGACTAAATACAGGGAGAGCTAAGTGAGCTCTCCCTGCATTTAGTCATCCCCTTACTTAACAGAAAACAAAAAACAAAAACTACATGCTTTCAATATCACCAAGCAGTTTCCCATTTCAGAATATGGACTGTGAATATCACCAGCATGGGCCAATACATTCCTTTTCTTGGCAGGTTATTCTAATGGCGTAAAAGATTATCTGCTAAACTAGCTTCTTGTTAATGTTAGACATTTTTGGTAACCAGCACTGTGTGTTGAAAAACAATTTTCTGTTCTGTTCTCTTACACAAATACCACTTAACTTATCCAAGCCCTTTCACACCATGCAGATTTCTGATCTGTTTCTAATATCTGTCCCCTTGCCAGCTTTTTGTCATTTTAAGTCTTTTTCTCATTTATACAGATTAAATGTGTTCACATTCTCTAGTCTAAATGGAGATGTTGGACCTCTGGAACTGCTCAAGTAACTTCTTGATTTTGTTCCATTCATGTGCAGCTTTTGAATATATTTCTCCCCAGGCAGTCCCTTGCTCTACTTCTGAATCAGCAGGTTGTCTTTGTACAGTGCCAAGCATGCTGCCTCATCTCAATAAAAGAATTGAATTTGACTTTACAATTGTTGAAATGCTGTTTTACAATATATTTTTGCTGTGGTGCAAGTAAAATTATTTGATAAAATTATGGATGACTTCATGACTATTGCAGAATTGAGGGGTCACACATGTTCCTGTTATTCTAATGTAGATGTTAATTCTGGACGGAGTTGTCTTCCTGCTGTTTTCCCACGTGCACAAACCTGTGGATGCATGCAAACCATTGTTAACTACTGCCAGGAGGTTACTCCCTGTGCTTTTAGGTAATTATTCAGTTGTAGCACCACTGTTGCTACTACTGATTTTTGGGTAGATCTGTTGCATCCTAACCTGCCCTTGCATGGTTCACTGACAATGGCTCTCTCAGAAGATTGCAGAAAGAGGAATGGTATTCATTTTGTCCCAAACGGTTTTCCAGTCTGATTGTACTTTTCAATCTGAGAGAAAATACACACCCTCACCTTTCATCATAAAGTTGCTTCAAAAGTGAAGACTTGTATGTGGTATGTCCACATTGCTTTAGCAATTTTGCTCCTCTACATTGAAGGATAGGATGTTACAGTTGGAAAAAGTTGAGCTTTCCTGTCTTTCTCTGCAACTAACTGTAGTTAATTTGTGCAATGCAGTGAGGAATGTGCATCTAGCAGTTAGCATTCTCATTATACCTATGATTATAGTTGCTGCTTTACGATGTGACAAGCAGAAGTGTATTGTAGTTATTCTTGGATAATTGGAAGAATGATCAGTGTTTTATATAGACCCCTGACTAAAGGTAAAATGCCTATTCAGCATGTTTTATGAATATACTGAGCCATCTTGTACTCTAAGCAATACAAGCTTCCATTTTAATAAGCTATTTGCTGTAAGCAGGGTTACTTCATTATAGTTTTCATAGCTAATCCAAACTGCACTTTCTCTATTGATTTAATATGTAGTCCTTTCAACATTTTAAAAGTGCGTAACTAGTTAAAAATAACTGAAATGAAAGAGAAGACTGAGTTAGTGCAAGAAACTAGCCCCGTTATGACTTGTGGTAGTCGTACAGTCATCTTACAAATGTTCACTTACACACACAATTTCACACAAGAAAAAAAAGTCTCCATTGTAAGGATACTGGAGATGTTCAAATTTATAACCTGTTACAAATCAGAATATTCTTTTATGGACCTATTTAGTGTCTTTTGAATATGTAACAGCAAACATCATAGCTTCTGTTTTGTAAGCACAACTTAACTGCATAATTTGCCCTGGATTTGTTTACTGTTTGCCAGGGTACTTGAACAGAAAATAACATAAATATAACCCATCCAACAAACTCTAAAGGTAATGTTTCCACTCTAGCCTGCTAAAACTTCTTTTTCTCTCTGGTACTCTGGAAATAGTATACTGTTTAACAACTCTTAAAAGCAAGTTGACTTTCTTTTGGGGTGGAAGGGAAGTGTATCTACCGAACATAACACTAGACTAGTGCCTGATCTCATTCCAGCTGTACTTATGTTAGTATGTTGCTAAGCCTACAGCTACTGGATATGCAATGTTAGAAAATTTAGGTACATGGTCATGAGAATGCCTCAGTAGCAAAATGGCTGAAGACAACTCTAGGAATAAGCTATTAGTAACGCTGAACTCCACATGTAGAAGTTTCTTTTCTGTTGCCAAAGAGAATACTGTTACTTACCACTAGTGTAATTTCAGAAGTTGTTATTCTTTTCACAATTAATCCTCTTCTTTGGAGATAACATCATTAATAACCTTCCTGTATAATACTCCAAAATGAAGCATTTTAAGAGCTTATTCATTACTTTTAAGCGGTAAGACATCTTACAGACTGAAACTATAGTATCAAGCAATTTAATTTGAAGCTGACAAACTTGGTTTTTACAATCTACCATGAATACAGTATCAGTTGTGAAAGAAACAATTTTTCAGTTACCTTTATCTCAGTATATAAACTAATGCATGTAATGGCTTCCTTTTTTATACAAGCAAAACCTTTTATTATAAAATATATATATTTTAAAGCCCAGATTTGATGACATGGTAAACCATATAACTCATAGGAGCAAACCCCCCTGAAATGTTAATTCAGATAGTCTTGCATTGCAGCTTTGAAAAGGCTTGCACTTTCTTTAAAACCAACTTAACTACTTGGGGGGGGGGTGTTTACTCAAAAGGGCCCTCCAATTTCTATGCTTGGTAGGTATTTCACATTATAGTGCTGAAAATATTATGCATGAACTTGTTCCAAAATCATTTTAGTTCCATTCTTATTGATTTGAGTCATCTTATGATATGCTAGTTCTAGTCTCAACTTGCTGTGCACTAAGTGTTGTGGTATATGAACCTTTTGTATGCAGAACACTTTTCTTTAAAGTTTGCTTTTGGAAAAAAAAAATACACCTGTTTTTCAGTACAATGCCAAAAGCAATTTTTGAATTTAGAATGGCAGCAGTAAGAGAAAGTGCCACACATTCCAAAGAACTCATAAAATGGGCTTGGCTCAGCTCAGCTAGCATCATTTGAGAAATGGTAAGCTGACTTAGACCATCTATATATACCCACAGTAAATAAGTGGAACTACAGTAATGCTGAAAGCCAGTGGGTTGAAGTTGCTTTGTATAATCCACCTAGTAATTTTAACTTCCATTTTCATAGTAAAGTGACTCTGGTTAAGTATGAGATGCATTCTTATAGCAATCCCCAACTGTAACTAAACTAGTACGTCTTTCATTTTTATAGCTGATGGGAGCAGCTGCAATTAAATCAGTTAATAATTAAGAAAAGGAAATGTGTTACAAGTCTAAAGTTCTGATTCTCTTCTCATTGGGAATGGCATCACTCATTCAGAATATGTTGTATAATAAAGCTATAAAAATAGAGGTCAATTACCCAGGAACTTACAGGAAAAAATTGCACATAATTAAGACATGTATTGAAAAACAGACTAGCTAGTATAGCACTGTTTGTTTTTTTTGTTTGTTTTAATATCCAACAGTTGTTAACCAGCATTTCTGAACAGATAAGGCTTCCAGAAGCACATAATGTGAAAGTCATGTTGGTGAAGGGACCAGTTAGTGCTGCTTTCTTCTAAATGAGCAACCTGTAAAGAAAACATAAGGACATCGAAATGGGTAGTCAAGTCATTAAAACAGACAGCATTAGAACATTTAATTGCTCTGGCAACTTGAGTTATTGAATTTACATCACAAAGGGATTCATATTTTGTCACTTCTCAAAGTTCAATACATGTAGTCTCCAATTTGAATTCTAATCTAATTTTCATGGCACAATTGTATTTTATACCTGATCTTATAGGGAGGAGACTTACTAGCACAATCACAATTTAAGTTTCACTACAAGTTTTGAAGATTAGCTCTTGCTCTTCCAGGATCACAGGCCCTCAAATAAAGTAACTTTTCTGGCAAGGTGGGTTAGTCTGCAGCTTAGCCTGCCTTAGTCTCATTAATGTAAATTGTTGTGTGTACACATGTACATGCAGATCCACCATATCCTTAGTCACAAACAAACTTTATTTGAAGAGAGAATTATAACCAAGATGCATCTTTTGCATCTTAGCTGTACAGACGTACTTTAACAGTAAGGGGTTCACACTGTTATTCATATAACTCAACCAATAATTTGCTCACGTGTAATTTGTCAAACACAAGACTTATTCAAATGGAATGATGCTCAGAAAATTGCTTTCTGGTATGACTTCAAGTTAAAGGCCACCCCAGGCTGAAATGGTGCCTGCCATGCCTAATTTAACATGTACCAATGTTGGTGCTGTGGGTTATGTAGCTAAGCAACTTAAAACCCCATACCCTTGGGCTCAGAGATCAAGAGGACAGGAAATAACTAAAATGTGCATGTTGGTTGCTTCACTGCCTGTGACCAGCACACAATCCTTTTATATTGGAGAAGACAAGTGGAATGCTGTATTGCAATGGTCTCTGCAGCTTATCCAAAGTCAGCTTTCCCCAAACATACATTCAAGTGCTAAGGGATGTGAAAGATAAGTTATTCATTTTCAGTCTTTCATTGTTGTTTTTAAAGCAAAGACTGGAACCTTTAACGTTCATCAAACTTAGTAATGGAAGGGAAGTCCTTTAAGGGAAGTAATGTTAAAGCCTGAATGTTAAATCTTCCTTTTACCTTCTGTAAGCCTGGCTTTTCCTCCTGTAGGCTGGCACAAGACAGTTGAGCATCCTACACACAGAACCACTGTCTGGGCATGACTGAACACTGTGGTGATCTTGTAGCAGCCTAAAACACAGCAACATTACAGGTCTAAGTTTTTCTTACTGTACTGTACCTTGATTAAATGCACAAAACTGCACTTGTCATTTTGATAAAGTTGAGTATTTTGCAAATAAGTTGTTCTCTTCAGTTTTGCTTGTAACTGATTAGGGAAAATAAGTAAAGTAAAAGTAACAGCCTTCACTTGTGGACACCTTTAATAGCTGCTCATATCTTGTCCCTGTTACTGTAGTGGTAAAATGTGGTCAGTACACTTTTTCTTGTTCTAGTTTAACAATTTCAGCTAAGGATGCGATTTCTTTTAACCATCATTAGATATACTTCTGTAGCATACAAAAAGCACAAACCATGCATGAGGACTCTACTGTGCAAGACACTTGAACTCTGACCATACATCACTACAACCCCCAAATGTGGATGCAATTATACTAGTTTAGAAAGATGAATATATTAGCATAGCTTATTCGAGAAGTCTATCCTATATCCCTATGACTACACTTATGCAAACAGTTGGGCTAGTATTTAATCATTATGTTCTAACATAATGAAAAATGTGTGTAGACCAGCTCTTATCAGAATGCCTGCACTTCAGGAACAACTTGTCACTCAAGCTATTTATATTCATATTTAATGTAAATATTATTTCACTCTAACAACACGCAAGAAAAAGTCACAGCCATTGGGAAGGGAGATAAAGCTCTTGTGCCTGTTTTCATGAGAGAACAGGAACTACACATGATCTTAGCCTAAAAAAGGCCGAGAAAGCCTGACCTTTCCAATAAAAGTGCCTAGAAGTCTGTGAGGTAGGAGGAGGGCAAATTTAGATAACCCCACCCCATTTTCTTCCTTGACCCCACAATCCTTGTACCACACTGAAGTACAATTATAGTGAACCTTGCATATAAAAGCCATGAGTATAAACAGAGATATAGGCAGACAAGGTTCTTTGGGTGAATCTGATATTCATAGATTCATAGATTCATAGATTCATAGATTAAGGGTCGGAAGGGACCTAGTAGATCTTCTAGCCCGACCCCCCGCCAGGGCGGGAGAACAACAAAAACCCCAAAAAGAGAAATGGGACTCAAACGAGTCCAGCTAGGTGGGCATCCAGCCTCTTCTTAAAGACCCCCAGGGTAGGGGCCAGCACCACTTCCCTTGGAAGTTGGTTCCAGCTCCTAGCCGCCCTAA